ATTTGCAAATTTTAGCAGCTTTAACTGTTGGCTGTGGAATGTCAACGAGTAGGTCACAATTTTACTTTTAATGTGTAGATATATATTTATTCCATATATTATCGGGCATTACCCACATCAATGTTGGGAAGTTGTAAAATATAAATTTAATTTATTTTAAATATTTATTTGTAATAATACCTTAGACTCAATGAAAATTTATTTTACAATTTAAAATTTCACTAAAAAATTACTATATTTATAACCAATCTAAAATTTTAAACCTTAAAACAAGGGAGGTGTAAATTTTACACGGATATAATTTATAACTGAAAATAATACCTGAGTAAAACTCACACCCTCTCGTTTTGAGGAGGATTTTGTAAACTTTACATTGTTGTTACTTTTAAACGCTGAATGCGTTTTTAATGAAATTATAAATATGACTTTAAATTTTAATCTTGTCTAAGAAAGTAAATTTTTTTTGAAAACTAATTTGCCTAGAATATAGTCGTGTGATATCTCATTTTAAGAGTATTTTTGCGATATTACATTAGAATATGACACAAAAATAAATATAAAAATGTTTAGAATTCAACTAAAAGTTATTCTTTTATAAACTCTCATATACATTCTCAACTTATATTCTCAAATTAAATTCTCAACTTATATTCTCAAACTAAATTCTCAATGTTATAATTCAAATACAAGCAAAAAAAAAAAGATTTGCTTGTGATAGCTACGATAAAACTAATAATAAAAAATAATATAGCGCAACAAAACTTAATAAAAGGTACAGTTAAATGTATTTTTCATCTGTTTTATATGAAATTCGGGGCGTTGAACACCAATACGAAGTTTGTTTCTGTCTACTGTCAAACATTTGCATGCAATTATCAAAAGCATCCTTTACAATAATGATTGCACTACAACGCACACCAGCTATGGTAACTATTTACTCGCTAAATAGAATGTTTTTATTAACTTGAAAAATGAAGGACTGAGAAAAAAAAAACTGAGCACAACTTTTTCTTATAGTGACTTAAGTTGCTGCAAACCAAACCCCAAACATAAACATCACCCATCATAGCTTCATCCCATTGCCCTTGGTAACGCTTTTCCATGCTTGATTGACATTCCACATCTAAGAGCGTTATATGGTGTCACCAAATTCTCCACTTATTCTTTTTAGTCTTCACTCCTATTATTAGCAAGGAATCCATTCGCTTTGTGTCTAAATGGTTGCCACGCATTTATTTCCAAAATTAGACATCATTAGTTTTAAGTCTTCTGACTAAACAGGCAACGTATCTGCGGTCAAGTGAAAAAGCTGGTTTTCAATTTTGCATCCAATAACTTAAGAAAAATGGAATATGTGTACTATCTTAAAGATAATGTAAAATCAGTGCCCTAACAAACTGTTAGGCTAGCTCCAGCTTAATATGCAATGTGGTAACAGAACCAACTCTAGCAAAATTAAGCTATCACGAATTACATTGTATTTACCAGCTGTTAACTATGGTGGGTACACCATATTTGGTGTACCTACCTTGATAGCCATAAAATATACTAATTATTTTTAAGTCTCCACATAAATTCGGTTTGTTCGGTTTTTTATACTTGTTGTGTTTTATCTTCTCAATCAAAAGTTTAACGGTGTTGTAATCTTCTTTCAAATACTTTGAGTGAGTCACAGGTGCAGAAAGATCTTAGTTCCCATTATGAAAAAAAATACACTTGAAGCTACATATGAAACTGCCTATAAAAAATCTCCATCCTCTAGTTTCATGCAAAATCCAATTTTTCAAAAAAATACCATCAAAATCTCAGCAGAAATGCTAGCAATTCGATACTTTATAAAACTAAGAAAAAGAGTGATGCTGTCTTTTGAAATCTGGAACGTTGAATCCAATAAGATCTATTGTTTTAGCCTGGGTGTCAACACTTCAGCTCCAGACCTCAATAAATCTATTTCACAAACCAAATCATCAATTTTGCTTTGTTTAGAAAAATGTAGCTGTTTAAAAAGTGATGGATTATATTTTTCAGATATATTTGTAGAACTCTCTTTATTGTAAAATTAGATGATGAAGTTAATGGAATGGGGGCTGGCCGCTGTTAATTATGTAGAGCTGATGCAATTGATAACGGAATATCTGGGTATGTTAGTTTTGATCCATTCGTAATTATTTTTATACCTTGATATATCGACCATACAAAAGTAGCCGTCTGTAGTGTGGCTTGATGGTTCTCTCCATGCAAAAAATGATAAATGGCATGCTTTTTCAATCTCCCCCTATCGCGCCCTCTAAAGATGATCTCATAACATATGAGGAGTCTATTTCTTGTCTTGATCACCTATATAAATTCTAAATTATACAGCATATTCGGTCCATGCAGAATGAAGATGTTTTGACCCAATATAGTAACCACAAATATAAGAAAACAAGACTGCAGATAATTTACAATTTCAAGAAAATGGCATAATGATGTTAATCTATAACAGAAAAGACCAGACGCTAGTAAACCAGTTTTATGAAAAAACTGGTTTACTAGCGTTTGGTTTTATAACACAAGTATATAAAAATGCATAATCAAAGCATAACAATTTTTTTTTACGCTGAACAATAATAATATAAAATAATCATTTAAAACAATAATACCAAAATAATATAATAATAGAAAAATATTTAGTCAAGATTTTATAAAAAATTTTTCGGTATAAAGTTAATTTAGATTTTTTTGCAAGTCAATATTTCCCTAGAGTTTCCTAGAGAATATTTCCCTTGGTTCCTATAGAAAAAATTAACGCTTTGATTGATTTTCTTTTTTGTTTTTCAAATTTTTGGTGAAAATATTTTTTTAATTTAAAAGTATTTGGATTTTTTTCTCTAACTAAAAGGAGTTTATTGTTAAATTCAATATGCATCGTCAAATTTTAATAATAACGATTATTTTTATTAGATATATGCTTTTGTATTGAAAATAAGAAGATTTTTTAATAATATATTATATTTATGTTGTATACATTAAATAAAACCGTTATAAAATTTTTATGAACCATTATGATTTTTGGGTTAATGAATCCAAAAATCATAATGGTTCTATAAATAAAACCAAAAGACCTGGATTTGAATCCAATCCAAAAAAACCTGGTTTTTAATTACTTTGCAAAAGATGGAGCCCTCTTTTTTGGAGACTAAAAATATTAAACTTTGGTTATATATTTATTTTTAATTTTGTTACTTTGATTTTTTAGTACTTTTTTTTTTTAGTCTATTTCTTAAAATTCTGTGAAGTAAAGTCCTTTTTTCACCCTAATACCCTTTCAAAAGAAGCCATAACAATTGAAGGCTAAACTTCAATTGTTATAACCTGTCTTTACATAAAAAGGGTACAATGAAAGCCACATGAAATATCTGTTGAATTACTAGAGTATTTATTACTACTTTTTTTGCACAAAGGGATAGTTTTTTTTCCTAATTATTTAAAGTCAATTTATTTCCATATTTTAAATATTTTCATTCTTTTTAGATTCCATGTTTTATTATTTTCTTACTATTTCTTCTTTCCGGTGAGTTTTGTAAGAGAAATTTCCTCTATTCGTAAGAAACACTGAAAAAAGTAAGTTACAATCTCTCTATCACCGTCAGAAACATGCAATACTCACTCTAAACATCTTTTTTCCGAAATGAGAATACTTAATATTTACAAACTTAAAATTTTTAATACTTTATGCTTTGTATATATATGTAAAAACAATCTTTCTCCTGCCGTTTTTAATGATATAATTACTTTGAAACCTACCAATAAATACTCTCTAAGAAATAACAACCTTCTATATGAGCCTTTTTGTCGAACAAGTTTTAACCAATTTTGCATTGATTATCGTGCATCCCATATTTGGAACAAAATTGTTTTGCCTAATTTTAGTTTTGATCTACCTACTTCTTTGCATCATTTTAAAGTTAAGCTGAAAAATCTTTTTCTCTCCCGTATTATTAAAATTTTACAATAATATTTATATTATGGAAATGTTTATTAAATTTTATTATATATACAACAAAGTGATATATGTATGTATATTTTATTTTTATTTTGTTGTACTTATAGTTACTTTATAATATAATAATTTGTTTACATTAGTATAAGGTTTTGACGATAAGATCTTACTGATCTTCTTTCAGATACCTAGTTTTTCAAATGTTAGTAGTATTTGCTTACTTTATAATTTGCATTAATTTTTTATTTACTCTCATTATATTGTAAAAACGAACTAACAAATGTAAACTAAAATATTAAAAAAAAACAAAAAAAAAAAAAAAACAATGTAAAAAATAAAGATATTAAAGAAATTTTTGTCCTAGTTAAAATTTGAAAAGAATTTTTATTTTATAATCTATTCTTTTCCGCACTAAATTCCCTAAAATTTGAAAATTTTAATTAAGAAGCAAAATACTTCAATTGTAACAACAAAAATTGAGAATTTCAAAAAATATAAATAAGGATATTTTACGCTATAAACGTTAAAAACGTTATAAACGTTGAAAAAAACAGAATTCTCATACAGCTTGTACGAGAGTATTCTTAAAAAATTCGATACAGCTTGTACGAGAGTATTCTTAAAAAATTCGATACAGCTTGTACGAGAGTATTCTTAAAAAATTCAATACAGCTTGTACGAGAGTATTCTTAAAAAATTCGATGTGCAAATAAAAAATGCAAGCTGTACGAGACTTTTTTCATAAAGTTTCAAACAACTTGTACAAGACTTTATAAAAAATCCAATTTGTGTGTTTGTGTGTGTGTGTGTGTGTGTGTGTGTGTGTGTGTGTGTGTGTGTGTGTGTGTATGTGTGTGTGTGTGTGTATTGTAATAATTTAACTTTTTATTCAATTTTAAATGTATCAATAAAAATAAGTATATGTGTGTGTTTGTGTGTGTGTATTATAATAATTTATCCTTTTATTCAATTTTAAATGTATCAATACAAATATAGTATATAATTACAGTGACATGGAAAAAATATTATTAAATTTTCAAAAGATTGTAAAAAATCTATTTCATTTATATATAATAAAAAGTTAAAGTTTACCATTATTTTATAATCAAATTTATATGACCTTAAAAATTTAACTTCTTTACATCTTGTACAAAACCTTGGTATTTCATCATATTTTCTCTAGTTTCTTCATGTCTTCTTGTTTGTTTCATACAAAATTTTGGTATTTATTATTTTCGTTTCTTAATAATGTATTTTCATTAACATTTTTTAAAACTTCAATACTCTTTTTGTCTTTTAATCCTTCTTCTTTCTCAAAGTATATTGAAAACCTTTCAAAATGAATTGTGGCCAATAGGAAGTCGCTCGTAATTAAACTCGAAGATTTATCATTGTATTATTTTCTATGTTTTAAATAAATATAATATTGTGATAATTTAGTTTTGAACTTCTAGTAAATAATGTGTTTTTTCATAACGCGATCTGTTGATGCTTCGAGATTCATATATTACCTTTGCAAAGTATATACAAGGATTTATTAGAGAATCAAGAGTGATTGCAAAAATACCAATAGGTTGATAAAGGTTGTCAAGGTTACCAATAGGTTGATAAAGATTATCAAGGTTAGCAATAGGTTGATAAATATCCTCATTAAAATAACAAACTGTGATTGGCATTAAACAAACAGCAAAACTTGCCCCAATAAAAATACAAAGTGTTGTCATTATTTTCAAGTGATCCTGATGTAGACTGCATTTCGAACCAAAATCGTGAACAACTGATTTCCTTTGCACTACTAATAATATGAATATATATACGTAAATCACCATTACAAAAAATGCAATAAATGCAAACAAGCAAGCTCGGATATAAATACTTGTATTTAATAAACAAATCGATAACATTGAAAATATAGGAGTAAAAATTAATGTGATCATCCAAATAATTGCTATTGTACCAAATTTTGTTTTAAACTTGTTTATGACGTAATACTTTTTTGGATATTTAATGGCGTAAAAACGTTCAATAGCAAGCACTATGACGTGGAAAGTTGATGAAAAAACTGAAAATAAATAAACAGAATCAATTGATTTTATCATTAATTCCTGAGAAATTATGGGAACAAATGTCAACGTCATCTCTCTAGAAAGATGCCAAACATCTATTCCTAACGAAGCAATACCACTTGCGAAATCAGAAACAGATAAACTTAAAAGCAAAAAATCAATGCGGTCTAAACTATTCCATTTCTGCACAATTAAAAGTTGCTCCATCAAATTTGCCAGAACAATTGCTAAATCAATTATAATACAGAAAACCACCCACAGTACAGACATGATTATCAATTATTTTTGATGATAAAATACAACTTGAAGTGCCTAAAATTTAAAAAAAAAGTTCAAAATTATTTAAAATTTAACTTAAGCAGTTTTGATACTTAAATTCAAGGGTTTAACCATATTGATACTTAAATGCGTATACTTATATATAAAGTAGCCATATATGGGTATTAGGGTGTTTCATATTTTATCAATTTTTGTAATTGAATTCGCGAATCGGTTTATAAATTGAACATTTATATGAAAATAAGTTTGAGCAAAAAAAAAATAATAATAATTTTAAGGGTACCCGCCAGTTTAATTTCGGGCCAAAAATATCCTATAAAATTTTTTATTCTTTTTAAATATTATATTATAATATAATTATAATATAATATAATGTAAATATATTAATATAATATAATAATACTAATTTCCTGACTTTTTCATCAAGCTCCTTTTATATGATTAACATTCAACCCAACATATTATGTTGGGGTGAATATTAATCATATAAAAAGAGCATGATGAAAAAAGCAGGAAATTAGTCTGCAGAATCTTTTGAAATTGGTAAAATATCCAAATTTTTCTTTACAAAAACCTAACTACTTTATAACTCGGTGGCATATAAAAAATATTTTTGATTTCCTAATAAAATATTTTCAGAGGCGGAAAAAACAAGAACTTAAATAGTTTTCATAATAGTGCCAAATGAGGTTTATATAGGCCTTAAAAAAAATTACGCTAACCTTAATAGTTTTCAAAAAAACTATTAAGGTTAGCGTAAGAGTCAGGTAACCTGACCCTTAAGCTAACCTGAATAGCCGGATAATAATAATAATTTATTTTAGTTCTTTTTAAGATAAAAAGACTTAACAAACTTACGGCAACATAGTATTGTTGTTATTAGTTTTGTTGCCTCAAAGTTAGCAAGTATATGATAGCTCTTTAACTTTAAAATATTCTTGTGGTTTTGTTGCATAGTTGTTTTTGTAAAAAAGCAAATAGTAACTCCTGACGATCGTCTTTACTGTGAACAATGTTTACAAAGTCTGATACAACTTAAATAGATCTTTTAGAAACGTCGTTAAAACGTTAACCACTGCAAAGTTGGAGACAAATTGGGAAAAAATCTTCAAATGGTCGACATACTTCCATAGTGATGCTGGGCTGTTTAACCAAAGTTTATAATTCAGTTTAGCGAGGTTTAACAAATACCTGGTGGTTTTTCTAGCCTAATGTTAAGAACTTTTATCAAGTTTAATTTTTCGGAACGCCAAAAAAATTTAGGATTTGGTTTGAGAAAAGCATTTTTGCAGCATCTTCTCTCTCTGCAACAGAAATATCATGGTCTAGAAGAGCAAGCGGAACCAAGGTTTAATCAAGCATCATAAATGTGATCCCATTGAAACCTTTCTGAGCATATTGTTCTACGTATTTTCGAGATTTCATCATTTGTCAATAAGCTTTTATATCTTTGTAAGGAGCAGAGTAAGGTAAAAAAGTTTTTAAAAACCAGACGGAATAAAAGATTGAGATAAACTTGGCCCTAGACTGCACTCCTTTCTTTTGATTTATCTGTCGATTCATAAGAAAGTTGCAAACTTAGTACCTGAATCTTGAAATATAAAACAGCTTTCGACATAAAATGTGCAGTGACACGCACCCTGGAGCTTGAATTTTTTTCAAATTTAAGCTTCAGGGTGCGTGTCACTGTCACAAAAATCTATCAGGGCAAGAGTCAGTTTCAATAGTTCTTTGTAATCTCCTCTTGGGAAAATGTTTTCCTATAGAACCATCTTGCAAAGTTTTACAGCGTTGAGTCTGTAAATTTCTAAGAAAGTGTTAACAATACCTTTTACAAACTTTGAAGAATGCTACTTTTAATGTCATTCCAGTTTATTTGGAACTGTTTAAGCATTAAGTTGTCTGAATATTTAGTTTTTCGACTGCACTTCTTTGTACAGAAGTGTTTTACATGATTCATAAACATGCCTTTTGCAAGCCAGCTCTAGTATAATTGAATTTTGTTTATGACTAAACCTGAAATTTGAACCAGAAAGTCTTCCTGTATTTGTAGCAGTTGTATCAAAACATAAAACTTTTACGTCATCATATATTCCATATTCATGCTGCATTTTAACTAAAGCATCATATTGAGCTTGTCCAGTACCACGATCAATAACTGGAATATCAAGAAGCTTCATTTTACCATCAATATTTACCGAGACTGCAAATCGATCTCTTTTTGATTTTTCACCTTCTGTGATATCAAAATGTGCTATTATGGGAAAAATTTAAAATTTTTCTTATATTGTTCACCATTTTCCCATATAGATTTTTTTTGAACTTTGCCAAATATTTGAATGAGACCATGAATATTCAGCCACATTTTCACTTAAACTTACAAATAAGTCCGTATATACATGCATTAGATCTCTTGATAAAATATTTTATACTGATGTCAAGGAAATATCTTTAACAAAACCATTCCCTAACTCTTGTTTATGATTACTTGGACTGGGTTGCGCTAAATCAAAAGAAATATCTTATTCTGTACTAATATCACTTATGTTTGAGAAAAGCTCTAGCTCTGTAGTTGATTTGTCTACTTGGGGTAACTGTTTAATATTACAATTAATAACGGAAATTTTAAGAATTGGGAAAGTAGTAGTTAAATTTTAAATTATTGTTTAAGTACGTAGATTTATACATTTTTTGATAATATTGCCCGATCAAATTTCCAAGTTTTAAATTTACTGCGCTCTAATGTTTATTAAGTAGAAGCCATTAAGGTTAGTTTCCATGGCAGGTTACTTCATGGATCAAATTTTTTTAAATAAATTTGATACAATTATAAAAAATAGCCTAGCTTACAGTTTTTTCCGTGTTTGGAAACAGTTTATTAAAAAATCAAAAAGGTTTTTTATACGCCACCAAGTGATAAAATAGAATTTTGTGAAGGAAAATTTGGATTTTTCATCATTGTTTCAGAGAATTCTGTAGACTAATTTCTTAATTTTTTCAACATGCTCCTTTTATGTGATTAATATTCAATCCAACATTTTTTTTTTGCTTAAACTTATTTTTATATAAATGGTCAATTTATAAATCAATTTGGGAGTTCAATTTCAAAAGTTGATAAAATATGAAACACCGTAATGGGTGTACGAATGGTATAAATTCAAATATTATAAATAAACATGTAACATGTTAAAATAAACTTAAATCTAAAATAAAAACATTTTTAATGCACAGCTCACTGTGGACCAAAGAGGCTATCAGGTTTTATGTCTTTTTTATTCAAAAGAATTTGAATTATAACAATAGAAAAAAGCTTTTCATAAATAGGCCAAAAGGGAAAAACTTGAGGAAATCTTAGCCCATATAATTATTGATAATAAATGTCACAAGAAAGAAATTAAAGTCAAATTTTAAATAATTTAAACAAAGTGTTAAAACAACAAAATTATTTTTAAAAAATATAGAATAATAATGTGTTTTCGGTACGTAATCAATTGATAGTGCATCTATTCCATCAATTAGGCGGTTGTAGCCAGCAGCTCCATTTTTTAAGTATATTTTTTTTTATAAATTTATAAATAAAAATCATAGGTTTTAATGTCCTACTTTAACTTTTAGTTTTTGTATTGCTTAAGAAAAAACTTGAATACAAATTTAAAGTATTTAGTATAATAAAAACTTTACTATAAAAAGCATGAAGACATATACTCAAAATTCTGAAGGTTTCCTTTTAAACCAGCATATACCTTGAAATATCTGGAGAATATGATCAATAATCATGAAATATATATCCATATAAATCAGAAAAAGCTTTTCTGATTAATTTTACTTCAGAAAAAGCTGTGCGCTACGTCGTTCATTATAAGTTTTATAAAATTGGTTTTGAACTCATTGCGAGTTGCATTTGTTTTTAGTTCATTATTTAATATTTGAATTTCTTAATAATAATTAATTAATAATATTCCATAATTTTAATTTTCCAAAATTATGTAATATCAACAAATAATTAATATTCTATAATTTTGGTACTCTAGTAGAAAATGAAAATCAGTTGCCGTCAAATAACTTTTGGGATAAATGTAACTGTTATTTGAGTATCTGGTTAGATATTTTTTTTGATTAATTTTGAATAGTAGATAAAATATTTTAGGAGATATATCTTTATTAATTTTGAAAATAAATATAAGATATTTATTTGGTAGACATTAATTATACTTCATTTAATGTAATTAAAAAATGTTTGAGAATCTTTGAAACGTCCCACAATATAAATAATTCTGATTGCATGTTTTGTTTATTAAATAGTTATTTATTAATTGCTATATATATATATATATATATATATATATATATATATATATATATATATATATATATATATATATATATATATATATATTATTATTATTATTATTATTGAGTTGTGTTGTATTCTGTTGGATTTAATACAGCTCTTTGTCGGTTTAAGAGTGATCGATATTTATAAAATAGATCAAAATATATTAAATATTTAAATGAAAAAAAATATATATATATTTTTTTCATTTAAATATTTAAAATATATATATATATATATATATATATATATATATATATATATATATATATATATATATATATATATATATATATATATATATATATATATATATATATATATATATATATATATATATATTTATATACATATATAACATATTCAAATTTTGATAAAAATAAATACCAGTAGAGTGCCTTTTTTTAAACGCAAATTGTTTATTTTAAAGTATTTTATTTGCTTCTAAATAGTGATACAATCTTTTAAACATAATATGTTCTAATAGCTTTAAAAAAATGATAGTATAGAGATAGGTCTGTAATTGGAGACACTAGTTTCACCTCCTGATTTATACATAGATATTACCCTTGCAACTTTAAGTTTACCAGGAAAAACTTTTTGTTCTAAAGAGAGCTTAAATATATGCAGAAGTGTAATTTTCAAATAAGGTATTAATTTGATTACTACATTACACCTTACATCATCAACTCCATTACCT